GCTCCTACCACTACTGCAATGGTTGCTACAATTGCTGACGCTCCTGCAGTATGCCATGCATCACCAGTCTTCACAACAGCTAGAGTTTCTTCTGCCACTACTCATGCAACGGTGTCCTCTAGTAGCACACATGCTTCTCCTCCATCTTCAGTGAGAACTTTCGTCGTATCAAAAATATCGGAGAACTTTCTTAGCATCCTAAGAGAATCTTCCATTCAGGTTTTGAACCACAGATGGAATTTTGCAGATGTTAAAGAGGTGCTTGTGCCTTTCTTGGACTTGATGAAAAGTTTAACCTCTGACCTTGCCGTATTACCATATTGGTTGCACCTGACTAAGGTTGAAGATCTTTTCAATCAATGGGAGAATCGTCGGTCTCGGTCTCTTTACCCTTTGGCTGAGGAGCGAGCTATGCAAGCTATGCGACAAAGGGATGACTCCTTATTTGAACTTAACCATCAATTGCTTGAGACTAAGCAACGGATAAAGGAGTTCAAAGAGATCGAAGAGAATTTGTCCCGAGAGGGTAGAAAGGTTGCAAACGCTGAACTTCAAAAGCAACGTAAGGTCGAACATCTTCAAGCTCAAATTAAGGCTCTTCAGGTCCAATTGGCAGAGGCTGAAGCTGAATTGGCTGGCATGACGGATATGAAGCAGACGTTGACTTCAAAACAAGTGCAGCAACAACCCTTGCTTCAAGCTGAAATTGATCGAATGGAGCAGCTAGAAAAAGCTATAAATGACATGAACGCTTATTCCGATGAGGAGCTTCATAGACATGCTTTGGCTGATGTTGAGGCAAAAAACTAGGAATCCATGACTAAGCTCGCTGAGGAAATTCGTCGGATTGCTGGATCCATTTAGCTCCATTTTCTTTATCAGACTTTTGTAACACTCTTCTTCATATATATATATTTTTTATAAGTAGAATTTCGGATAACTTTGTTCACTAACTCTACTTTGCATCTCCATGCGTAATATAATACCAAAGTTTACGAACTTCGTTATTTTGCGATTTACGATTTGAAGTACGGACCTTGCTACTTTGCTATGAGATTGGATTCGAATTCCAATTCACATCTGACGTAACGAGGTCCTAATCTCGTTCAATTAATCCTTGACATTTGAACTCAATTATCGGAATGACCTTCGTGGGAGACGAGGTTCAAATCTGATTCCAATCGAGAACTCCACATTTGAGTAAAATTCAAAGAGCAACCTTCGTCGAAGATGAGGTTCAGATCCAATTTTGATCAAATCTCAATACTCGACTATAGCTAGAGGAATGACCTTCGTCAAAGATGAGGTTCAGATTCCAATTTTGATTAAGTTTCCACAATGGAGTATAATTAAAGGAACGACCTTCGTGGAAGATGAGGTTTGGATTCCAAATTTGATCAAGTTTCAACACTTGAGTATAAGTTGAGGAACGACCTTTGTGGAAGACGAGGTTCGGATTCCAAATTTGATCAAGTTTCAACACTTGAGTATAATTTGAGGAACGACCTTCGTCGAAGACGAGGTTCGGATTCCAAATTTGATCAAGTTTCAACACTTGAGTATAATTTGAGGATCGACCTTCGTCGAAGACAAGGTTCAGATCCTTTTCTCAACACTTGAGTTCAAATAGAGGGATGACCTTCGTTGAAGACGAGGTTTGAATCCACTCTCGATTGAACAGTGACCCTCATTATTATATTTTTAGGGACGAGAATAAATCTCGTTGAACGACGTGGCAACTTTTAACAGTTCCAAGACTGTTAATCCACAAGAATCCGTCGTTTCATCTCGTCAACATTAAGTCTTAAGCACTTAATGCGTCGTTTCGAGCCACGTCTTCGTTGGCGTTAATTACGAACGCAATTGATTACGCTGCTTCGTTCTCAGCACCTCTTGGCGATTCGGTGCTTAAGGATTTGTGTAATACATCCCAGCCACTTGGTTGGCTCCTGCGTCTATAAATAGGTAGTCGTTTTTTTTCGAGAGGATTCATCTTCTTCTTCTGTGCCTTGTTTCCAAAATGATTCAGAGGAAATGAGCCATTTTAAAACTTCCACCTTTGCTTCTTATTAGACTCCAAACTTCGATGATCGTCACCGGTGAGTAGGCAAAGTTGATGACTTTGTCACTTCAGGTAACTCTTCTGACCTGATCTCTGATCTCTTGGTTTTCACAGTAGCTCGCTCATTTGAGGGTTTCTCAGTGTTCCAGAGTCAAAATCAGGGCATGTTTCGACAACTTGTTAGACTTTTGAATGTAATCTCGAAGAGATATCTTAAATTCAAATATGCTAGCTTGCTGTTTTAGCCTGCCAACCCCCAAGTATGCAGTCCCTTTGTTATACTTTGGTCTATGTGGCAGCTTCACAGGCTCAGTGAAGTGCTTCTTTTAGGAGTCAACAACAATGTTAGTGCCGTCTTCACGTTCTACGGAGATGGGAGAAGTGCTGATCCTATGCTCAGAGCTTGTGGTGTTTCTATTAGTAGCCAGTTTACCCAAGTAGGTAAGCGTATGCTACAAGCACCTAAGTTAAAAGTTGAGTATGGGGAAGACTTCATGCTCAGGAACGGAAGATGGAACTTCAACAACAAGACAGCGCGTTTGCTGCGGACGAGGTTCGTAGACAAATCTCAAAGGTCATGGAACTTGTAATTGAACTTCGTAGTGTAGCTGAAAGAACTTGTAACTGAACCTCGTGTTGTAGCTGAAAGAACTTTTAACTGAACCTCGTATTGTAGCTGAAATAACTTGTAACTGAACCTCGTATTGTAGTTCAAGTCTTCTATGTTCAATCTATGTACTTTGAGTTTCTGTATCTTAAATTATATATGAATAAAATTTATATTTTATCCACATATTGTTCTCTTGCATAACTGAGGCATTCTAACTTAGGATTTTTAGCAAACCCTCAGCTGTCAACGGACTTGAGTGGTCTTTACCAACTGCCGTTTGAGTTGGACTAGTCATACTTTTCCCCTCAGTATGATGAGTTGTCAAAGAGTTTCTCTTAGACTTTAATGCTAAGATTTCTCTTCTATCCTTAGTCTCTTTTAGACCTCAAATCAAGTGTATGATAATGAGGTTCAAAATGTAATTAAGCATTAAGGACAAAGTTCAACACATGGCAAACTCGTTGGGAAAACGAACATCATTTTGTAAAAAATGACGACGTTAGGAATATCAAGTCGTTTAAAGACTTAAGATAAAGAAAACCAAGGCTCTTCACCTGGTAAGCCAATGTTAGAAAACACACGTCATTAAGGGTAAATGACGACGTTTGGAAAATCATATCATTCAGTGACTTTAGCAGTATGATGACGTTGGAAACGAAGGCACATCACTTGGTAGGCCTAAGTTAGGAAAACGAACGTCATTTGGGAAAATGACGTTAGGAAAATTACATCATTCAGTGACTTTAGAAGTATGACGATGTTGGAAACGAAGGCACATCACTTGGATGGCCTAAGTTAGGAAAACGAACGTCATTTGGGAAAATGACGACGTTAGGAGAATAACATCGTTCAGTGACTTTAGAAGTATTACGATGTTGGAAACGAAGACTCATCACTTGGTAGGCCTAAGTTAGGAAAACGAACATCATTTGGAAAAATGACGACGTTAGGAGAATTACATCGTTCAGTGACTTTAGAATAATGACGATGTTGGAAACGAAGGCACATCACTTGGTAAGCCTAAGTTAGGAAAACGAATATCATTTGGGAAAATGACGACGTTAGGAGAATTATATCGTTCAGTGACTTTAGAAGTATGACGATGTTGGAAACGAAGGCACATCACTTGGTAGGCCTAAGTTAGGAAAACAAACGTCATTTGGGAAAATGACGATGTTAGGAGAATTACATCGTTCAGTGACTTTAGAAGTATGACGATGTTAGGAAAATTACTAGCAATCAGGGGTAGAATTAACACAATAATAGTCCCACTATCCTATTAAAGAGGATTAGTGAGGGAAATTTGGAGGAGACGAAATAAAGAAATCATTACCTTTATTTGCTTCTTCTCCCGCGGCAAAGTACATTTGAAGATGAAGTCTACGAGTAATATTTCTTCAGAAATTTACCGTTGACAGGCATCATAAGTTTGTCGCCATCTCAGGTGATAAGACGATAAGCTCCATTCGAATAGACAGTTTCTACTACAAATGGCCCTTCCCACTTTTGCTCAAACTTTCCTTTCTTCTTGGAATTCAAAATCATCGGACGCCGTGCTATAAGGACTAGGTCACCTTCCTTAAACGTGCAGTATTTAACCTTCTTATCAAATGCTCTGGAAATCCGAGCTTGATAAAACTCAATATGTTGTTGAGCCAATAACCGCTTTTCATCAAGCGCTTCCAATTCTTCAAGACGTCAGCGATGACTCTCTTCCGTTATCATACCAATTGCGAGTGCTATCCTTAAAGAAGGAATTTGGATCTCTAATGGTAATACGGCTTCACATCCGTATACCAAGGAATATGGTGTCGCTCCTGTCGGCGTTCGAACTGTTGTGCGATAAGCCCATAGACTCTGACCCAATTTCTCATTCCAATATCTTTTGTTTGCCGAAACCACTTTAGTTAGAATTCTGACGATGGTCTTGTTAAATGCTTCTGCTTTCCCGTTAGCAGCAGGATTATAAGCCGTTGAAGCCAGATTCTTGATCCTGAATTTGTCACAAAATTTGGTGAAGGCTTGACTAATGAATTGGGGCCCATTGTCATGGATGATACGTCTTGGAACACCGTACCTATATACGACGTGATGTTTTAAAAATTTAACAACATCACTCGTTTTGACTTCTCTCAACGGGATTGCTTCTGCCCATTTAGAAAAGTAATCGGTTATCGCCAAAATAAAGCGATGTCCTTTGGAAGAGGGTGGTGTCACTGGGCCAACAATGTCCATTCTCCACGTTTCGAAGGGTCATGAAGTGGTTGAAGAATGGAGATGTTCAGGTGGTTGATGCATGTAATTAGCATGTATTTGACAGGCGTGGTATCATTTGGCATAAGCGACAGCATCTTGTACCATGCTAGGCCAATAATAACCCAATCTGCGTAATCGGTCCCACAACTTAGGACCAGGTTGATGAGCTCCACAAATACCACCATGAGCCTCTTTAAGGGCTTCTTTTGCTTCTTTATTTGATAAATAGCGAAGCAAAAGTCCATCGTACGACTTCCGATACAAAGTCTGAGATTGAGAATCATAGTAGAATCTAGGTGCTCGTCTAGGAATAGATTCTCTTTCTTTGATGTCTTCAGGCAATAACCCGTATAAGACATAATCAATGATCGGAAACCGCCAATCTTTAGGTTCGAGTGTTGAAGGTTCCGCTTCAACTGTATTGATCTGTAGTGCATACTTTGATTTGAATAATTGTCTGCTTGTCACTGTGACCTGCTGGGTAGTTCCTTCAGGTATTGCTAAGGTAGCCGCAAGTGACGCTAATGCATCAGCATAGGGATTCTTGAGACGGGGTACATGGTCAATGTAAAAGCCCTCAAAGGAATCGGCCAATGCGATTGCTGCGGCATGGTAAGGAATGAGGTCTTCATTCCTAACCTCATATTCTCCTTTCATTTGATTAACAATGAGTTGAGAATCACCGTATGCTTCTAAGTGTTTCACCCCCAACTGCTTGGCTATATCCAAGCCAACCAACAAAGCATTGTATTCCGCCATATTGTTAGAACACGGTTCTGTTAAAGAAACGGCGCGTGGGAGTATATGGTTTTGGGAAGAGATAAAGACAACCCCCACTCCAGCTATAACCCGACCAGTAGAACTTGTCATTGCTGCACCATCGAAGTACAATTGCCATACTTGTTCTCTAGAGACGACGTTTGCTTCATATGTCTCATTAGGTATGTCCTGGTACAACTCGGCCTTTTCTTTTAACGGATGATTGGCCATAAGGTGACAAATAGCCTGACCTTTCACTGCTTTTTAAGGTTTGAAGTGGATGTCGTATTGGGAAAGCAACAAAGCCCACCTGGCGAGTCGCCAGTTCAATGCACTAGGCTGTGTCATGAATACCCGAATAGGATTAACCTGAGAAATGACATGTATGGTTTGCCCAACCAAATAATGTCGTATTTTCTGAACTGTGAAAACTAGCGCCAAACATTCCTTCTCAATGAGAGGATAACGAGGTTCAGCCCCCGATAGTGTCCTACTCAGATAGTAGATGGCTTGTTCATGACCATTTTCATCATCTTGTGCCAAGAGTTTTGCTAATGCATGATCTGTAGCCCGAATGTATATCAAGAAAGGTTTACCTGACTTTGGTGCGACCAATATCGGCGGATTGGAGAGATATTGCTTAATCTCCTCAAACGCTTTCTGGCAAGCCTCGTCCCACATAAAGGATACTCCTTTCTTCATTAATTTTGAGAAGGGTTGGCATTTCCCGGACAGGTTAGAGATGAACCTGCGAATATACGCCAATCGTTCTTGTAAACCTCGAAGCTCCTTAAGATTCCTGGGAGGTGATAGCTCTTGGATGGACTTGACTTTATCTGGGTCCAAACGAATTCTGTTAGCCGTGACTACAAACCCGAGAAATTTACCACTAGCCATTCCTAAGAATGACTTAGTTGGATTCATCTTGAGCTGGTGCGTCCGCATAAGATCGAACATTGTTTTCAAGTCGTATAAATGGTTTCCCTTATCACGACTTTTAACGACCAAATCATCAACGTAACATTCTACAGTTTTTCGAAGATGCTTTTGGAAAATAGAGGTCATAGTGCGTTGATAGGTGGCGCCCGCATTTTTCAACCCAAAGGGCATTACTGTATAACAGTATATCCCTGAAGGCGTTCGAAAGGATGTATGCTTTTAGTCATCAGGATACATTTTGATTTGGTTATACCCTGAGAATCCATCCATAAAGGACATCCTATCAAACCCACACGTATTGTCAATAATGACGTCAGTGATGGGTAACGAAAAATCATCTTTATGACAAGACGAATTCAAGTCACGGAAGTCGATGCACACTCGAATCTTCCCGTTCTTTTTTAGAACAGGGACAATGTTGGCCACCCAATCAGGATGTTGCTCTTCGCGAATAAATCCTGATTCGATGAGCTTTTTGACTTCAGCTTCAATTGTTTCCATGATTTGGGGCCGAAATCGCCTTTGCTGTTGTTTAATAGGCTTGACGTCTGGTTTGATATTTAGTCGATGCATAGCCACTTAGGGATCAAGCCCAGGCATATCCTCGTAATTCCAAGCAAAGACATCAATATATTCTCGAATTAGGGTAATGAGGTCTTCTTTCTCCTCTGGCGATAAACTATCACTTATGAATATGGGTTTTGGATTAATCTCATCTCCCATGTTCACCTGAATCACCTTGTCATCAGTAAGGGGATCGCGTTGTTCAAAACGGTGTTCCCACTGTATACCGAGCTATCGACTCAATGGATCGTCAAATAAGAGTAATTGATCATCTTCCTGATTCTCTATCAAAGATGCTGAGGTCATGTTAGCCATGAGTACTTTGAATACAGCTCCTGTACTAGTATCAGACTCCCAGCAATCGAATTCGGAAGACGAGGTGAAAGAATCATCATCTAACTCTCTTTTAGTCCCGAAACGCAGCATAAATGGTGGAGATTCATAACCCAATCCACTACGAGTTTTGTGATAATAATCTTCTGGCTTTCCTTCCGGGACATATGCAGATCGTATTGGTGTCCGGATCCCTCTGCCAAAATTTAAACCCTGTTTATGAATAAAATCATAACCCATATTCTTCATAAGCCTTCGGGTTGTTGGATCAAAGTATGAGAATTGCAGATCTCTTTCTTCTTTCTCGGATTCTTCCAAAATGGTTTGTATCGGTTTTTATGTGAAGAAAGAGGATATAGGTTTTGCAATAGTTCGAGGAGTATGAGAAGTTTTATTAAGGGGTATTTAGTAGAATATTAAGACAGAATTCAGGTTGATCCTGGTTCTGCTTTGAGCATCATTCCTTTACGGCTCATTCATTACCTTGGAATCCCTTTGCATCGTTTATCAACGACGAGAACCACCATATATGGCTTCAATGCCTCTAATATTCGTCCCCTTGGTAAGATCAAACTCAAATGCCAGATGGGTGACTTGAGGACGAATGTTACCTGCTACGTCATCGACGCAGCGACATCTTACAACTTGTTACTGGGTCGACCATGGATCCATAACAATTTGATTGTTCCATCCACTCTACACCAATGCATGAAATATATAAGTGAGAGTGGTGAAGTAAAAACAGTGGTCCCAGAGAAGAAACCATTCAAGGGGGTAGAGAATTATTTCACTGATTATATCCATTATCTTGATGGTGAACCATTTGAGGTACCACTGATTGAAAACCAGATAGCGGTAATAAAGCCGATATCGAGTCTTAACATGAATAGGGTCTTGTTTTTAATGACATAGAACCCGTCGTAATCGGCCTTGAAAATCTGGATGTAAAAGATCCTGTTTATGAGGACAGTAAAGTTATCTTTAATAATAATGATTTAGCTTATTTCTCGTGTGTGGAATTGAATACTAACATGCCAGGTACAAACACTGATGTGATAACGGATCCGCTATCCAAGTTATATGCTGAATCAAACTTATACATGCCGATTCAATCATCTTTTGCAACGAATCGAACGGTCCGATACAAACCATTTTGGAAGAATCCGAGAAAGAGGAAAGAGATCTTTTTGACCGTTAACCTTAGCCGGTACTATGAAGACTGCTTGCGAAGATTCGGTTTGTCATCGATTCGTTGCAAAAGATGATTGAATCGGCATGTATAAGTTTGATTCAGCATATAACTTGGATAGCGGATCCGTTATCACATCAGTGTTTGTACCTGGCATGTTAGTATTCAATTCCACACGCGAGAAATAAGCTAAATCATTATTATTAAAGATAACTTTACTGTCCTCATAAACAGGATCTTTTACATCCAGATTTTCAAGGCCGATTACGACGGGTTCTATGTCATTAAAAACAAGACCCTATTCGTGTTAAGACTCGATATCGGCTTCATTACCGCTATCTGGTTCTTTGATCAGTGTTACTTCAAAGGGCTCATCCTCAAGGAATGGATAGAATCAGTAAAATAATTCTCCACCCCCTTGAATGGTTGCTTCTCTGCGACCACTGTTTTCACTTCACCACTCTCACTTATATATTTCATGCATTGGTGTAGAGTGGATAGAACAATCAAATTGTTATGGATCCATGGTCGACCCAGTAACAAGTTGTAAGATGTCGCTGCGTCGATGACGTAGAAGGTAACGTCCGTCCTCAAGTCACCCATCTGGCATTTGAGTTTGATCTTACCAAGGGGACGAATATTTGAGGCATTGAAGCCATATATGGTGGTTCTCATCGTTGATAAACGATGCAAAGGGATTCCAAGGTAATGAATGAGACGTAAAGGAATGATGCTCAAAGCAGAACCTGGATCAACCTGAATTCTGTCCACCCGAATAGAGCCGATGTACCCTGTGAAGTACAATGGTCTATCATCTTTCGAGTTTCTCACATGCATGTCTTCTTGAGAAAAGGTGATGCATGGCATTCTTCTTCGAAAAACTTGACAACATTGAGGACAAGCTTCTTCCAGCGTTGCACCGGCTGGATTTGGTAGAAAATGAGTAAGGAAAGCCTCATTATCCGCCAATGCTTCACGGAGAGCTTCTCTCGTTGATCGGGATAAACGTAAGAGCTCAAAAAAGGTAATCCTTGCTGGGATGTTGGCTAACTGGGCCAACACATCAAACCGAAAAGGACCTTTCGAACTCTCTGGTACATCTTTTCTGAGTGCTTTGTTGTAACGAAGTTCCTTAGGTTGAGGTTACTCCGCTACTTATTTCCCTGGTCTGGTTGGTGCAGCTGCTGTTTTAGAATATTTTTTTAAATACACTTTTCCTCCACGGGTTCCTGATACCTGTGCAGGCTGTACGGTGAAAGCTGGCCGTTCATCCTCAGAACTACTAAGTGATGTAGTTTCGACCCCCTTATCTGGGAATGCTGAAACGGCGTTGCAAGATCTTCGTGTGGCTTTAGGCTTCTTTGAATTTGCTGATGTCCACTGTTCTTCCATTAACAAATCAGGATGAACCCACATTAATTCGCCTTTAGAGGTAGTGTAAGGGACCATCCCCTTCTCTTTCTTCCGATACGGGTCGAAATTTACCACCCTCATCTCCGCTTGAGGAATTGGTCGTACACCATCTTGTATTCGTACTTCGAAGAAATTCCCAAATTTAAGTGACACCATATTTGCAGACACCTTCTTTTGTTCAGCTTAAAGAGTCATCACTCCTGCATCTAATAATGCTTGAATCTTGTCTTTCAAGATGTAACAAGCTTTAGTCGGATGATGCACCATCCTGTGGTACATACAAAAGTTAGGGTCATCAGTCCTTGATACTTCTGCATTCCGTTTTACCTCTGGCAGCTTGATCTTGCTCATCTTGATTAAAGATGTCAGAATAGAGACAACATGTACATCCTTAAAATCGTATTTCTTCTGAAAAAAATTATCAGATGTATTCACTTTCTGTTTTGTAGAGGATTTCGGAGATGGAGCTGTCTCAACAGCTAATGTGTCTTTCCCCTTCGATTGTTTCTGGGAATTATAATTGTCTTTACCACCTCCTTTTTTAGGCTGTGATTCTTGAGGTTCTTCAGCACTTATCCTCTTGAGCATGTTTTCTACTTGCTCTCCCTCCCAAACCAAATCCTTCCATGAACGGGCTTCAACAGCGCCCATCTTGGATAAGATATTGATGGAAAGATTGTTACGGCATATTTCCACGAGAGTAGCCTCAGAAACTTGATCGCGTGAATGCAACGATCGATTTCTGAACCTCTTGACGAAGTCACTGACCGACTCCGTTTTCTTCTGCTTCTCA